AAGCCGTGCCGGTGCGGGTGCACCACCTTCCCCGGTCCGGGCACCCCCCGCGGCCCCCCTGGCCGTATACTCCGTCCATGGAAACCATGTGAGAGCACATTTATCCGAGCGTCCCTGCAGAGACGCAGTCATCAATTCCATGTTGTAAATCATTTCCACCCTATCTATCCATTGGCGGAGTGAAGGGGCTACCTGACTTCTCCACAACATGGGGATGAGAGATTTTGCTGCCGTAAGAAGGTGTATCACCAGGCCCCTTTTGTAGGCGGTAATTGGCATGCTCGTGTGGTTCAGTAGCATCGGTAGCGGCTGGAAAGGGATGTCCGTCCCAGTAACGTCTTTAATCCCTTTGTGTATCGTTCTCCAAAAAGGTTCAATGCGAGAGCACGACCACCAGATATGGATCCCAGTACCATCTGCATCTCCACACCTCCAGTACTCCCCTGAGATGGACTCATGGACATGGCGAAGGATGTCCGGAGTTCTATACCAACGCGACAGTATCTTGTAGTTGCACTCCTGGAATTTGGAACAGATGGTCCCTCTGTGCGTCAATTGGAAGATCTTTTGCCATTCAGAAGTAGATCGCTCCACCCCTGCTTCCATTTCCCACCGTACCGTGAACCCTAAGGGTGACTGATCCCCACCACTCTGCAGCATGGAGTATAGTTGCGCTATGCCATGGATGAGGTGCTGTCTGGCGACACAGAGTTGTTCGAAGTGGGACAGTGGACGGTGGAGGTGCGCCTTCCCAGCTAGCGAGGTTACATAGGTTGTAAGCTGATAGTACCGGAAGTTGTCCAGAACGCTGGGTCTGCGGTCTTGGAGTAGTGCGGCCAGCGGTTTAAGGTTAGGACCATTACACCATTGATGCAGGTAGGTCCAATCCGTGGCCCCAAAGTTCCTCAGATCACCCGGGGAGAGTCCACCTGCAAGTCTTGGGTTATGCGTCACGGGCATAAGTGGATTCGGCGATGACGTGAGTTGTTGAGAGTACCGGATGCCAGACCTTCAGAGTTGCATCCACCAACGGGTTACCCGTTCGCAGTTCCTGAAACGTGGCATCTCCCAGCCACAGCTGGGACGGTATTTTACCTCCCCCCGCCTGTTGCTTTTCCATGTCTACCCACCGTTTCCCGCTAGGGGCTGCATGCCAATCCACTAAACGAGACAAGTGTGTAGCCCGGTAAGTAAGGACTGAAGGCAAGCCCATGCCTCCCTCACTTCTAGGGCGTTCCAGGATCGACTGCCAAATGCGAGCGGGTCTCTGGTTCCATACGAACTGCTTAAAGGCGGACGACAACGTTTGGAAGAAGTTCCGTGGGACAATGACCGGGATCGTCTGGAACAGGTACAATATACGGGGCATAACATTCATTTTAATGGCATTTATGAGTCCGAACCAAGATATATATTGGGGGGCCCAGCGCTTCATATCTTGTTGTAGGGCTGTGAGTAAGGGGACATAATTCATGGAATAAGCTTGAGCTAGGTCACACGGTAGCCAGATGCCCAGGTACCGCAGTTTAGTCAAGCAAATCCGGAAGGGGAAGTGCGCCTGGATGTGTCTACGAAGGGCCGGATCCCGTGTGAGGGGCATCAGTTCCGACTTGGCCAGGTTATTCCTCCGTTTTTGTTGATAGAGTATCAGTAATTAAGATGCCAGGCTAACAATTTAAGTATTTTGCAACACTGTTGTAATATTCTGAGGAAATTGTCAAGTCACCACAGAGGTGTGGTTGGACCAAAATGAACATGAAATAAAAACATGCATCTATTTTATCATGTATATCGTTGTAACATTTGGTATCATTAGGTACATCTACACAAAAGTATAGGATCAGAAAAATAAAACATGGAAAACGTCCCTCTCCTTTAATAATAGCAATAAACCATTCTATTACTTTGTTATCGTCAACTGGACATATTGCACAAGAAAACAGATACATTCAAAGTTTATGCAGC